ATGTGTAACGTACACGTACTGGAAAATTATTTACTAGGACTCACCTATCATGCGACTGTCTTTTTCCATCAAACGCTCATTAAATCAGCAACCTACAGGTATGTTAGCGCACTCATCCCCGACTGTCCGAAGGAGGGGCGGGGTCACACGTTGAAACAGCGGCGCAAGGCAGCCCAGGCGGGGAAATTTTGCTTTTACATTTTGCGACTCATTTTATTTTTATATCTGATAAGAAAACTATTCAATCAGATACTTATTTGTGGTGAATGAAATACAGTTACACTTTCAAGCACTTTTAAGCACCACATCTGAAATTCAAGCACTTTTCAAACCTTGAAAAGACAACATTAAAATTCAAGCATTTTCAAGGATTTCAAGCACCCGTACGAACCCTGATAAATAACCCTTAGTGAAAAAAGCACCGCGCCCCTACTCAGAAATCAGCGCCAAATAATTTTATTAAAACACCCTCGGATGAGGTATTGTGCGGGAAAGACTTTTCTTTTTTTTAAGAGTCACTTTTCCGACAGGTTTTCTCATTAGCAGAAAACTCTCGACAGACAGAAACTCTAAAAGAAAACGGTCTTGTTTTACGCACATCAAGGAGGAGTCAACAACCCCTCTAATCGGTATTAGTATTTCTTAATGCCTCCAGCCAAGCAAAGAATTTCATAAAGGCCCCAACTCCTTGTACGTGCAAAATAATCCCGAGTTAAAAAAAAAAAAAAGCACATATTCAGGACTCTATCCCAAATATTTTTATTAAAACACCTCGATGAGGTATTTTGGTTTTGTGCAGCCACTCCTTCTCAGATCAAAGTGAAGAGTTTTTCTTCATTTTTGTAAAGCAACTTTTACAACAGGTTTTCTCAATAGACTGAAAAACAGAAACCCTAAAAGAAAACGGCCTTGTTTTACGCACATCCAGAAGGAGTCAGACAACCGTCGGTTCATCCCAGTCAATTACCTCCGAGAGCTCGGGATGCTTCCTCCGTAGGATACCATAAACGTATGAGAAAAAAAACCCCAGAGAATTTATTATTTTTGGTAAGAGAGAGAGAGAGAGAGAGAGAGAGAGAGCGAATCGATCAAACTTTTCTACAAAACGTTATACCACTCCGGGTCAGGAGGGGCGATATAGCACGGATGACTACGCCGGATGGAAGCATAACCGGAAGCGTGGCAGGGACTTTCCCTTTGACCTTCATCCTGCTCCATGATCAGCCGTTAAATCTTTCCTCAATATTGCTGTAATGTAACAACAAAGTTAGTTTTTTAAGATCAGACAGGTCCCAAAACATTCCTTACACACCCCCGCAGTCACTGAATTAGCATCTGTGGCACAAATAAGCTTCAGGGACCTACTTGTTTTTTAGAACCGACCTTTGACACTTGGATGTTGGCTTAATTTTTACCCAAAGAGAAATTTGACCCTAATAAAAAAAAACACGATA